TTATACCATTTTAATGTTTTTATTTTTTGATATTCTATAAAATGACATAATTTACCGTTATATCCATTTTTTCTATTTTTTTTCTTTTTTATATCTCTCTTCTAATTTGTATAACACATTGAAGAGTTAAGATTAGATTTAGTTAATGTCATTTACAAGGTAATTAATTATGCAAGGTACATTAAATTTTAACCAACAAAAATGTGTTTGATAGGCTAATTAAAACTCTTTGATAATGGGCCTCTTGAATTTTTCAAGATAAGCTTTATAATTTATTTTTACATCATTTGATTTTGAATATGTAATGAGATATAATTGAACATAGAAATATATTCCGGTCACCCCAAAAATTGGATCTTGACTCTCATTCATGCTATGCCATGTCATTTTGTATGCAAGGTTGGTATGTGTATTATCAACAAAGCTATGGACACCAAATATTTTACACCGAAAATGTGTACCGGCCTACGTGTACCCAGGCGCCTGATTTTTCTATCAATTTTTTTCTAGTGAACGGCCGTCCATCAAATATGGATGGCCGTTCACTCACATGGACTCCCGTCCATATTATATAATATGGAGGGGGGTCCATATAAGACGGACGGGCGTCTCTATTTAAAGGACACCCGTCCATAAATAAAATACAATAAAAAAATTTTATAAACATTAGGGATGGCCGTTCATCCGTTATGGACGGTCATCCCTTCATTTTGGACGGGCGCCCGCAAATAAGGGACGCCTGTCCTTAACCAAAATATAAAAATAAAAAATAATTTGGGGACGACTGTCCATAAATTTTGGACGGCCGACCCTTACATCCATACTTAAAAAAAAAAAAAAAAAAAAAAAAAATTCCTAAACAAAACTCTTCTTCTTCGTCTTCATTCCCCATCTCCTCTCTTTTTCTTCGTCTTCATTCCCCATCTCCAAAGCCCTCCAAAGCCCAAAAGCTTTTTCACAGATCCTCAAGACAGATATTGAAAGTCGAATAAATATAAGTTTTAGAGGTAGAGTTAATAAAAATAGAATGAAAAGGTTACTGCAATATTTGAATTTCTGCCTCCTTTTATCTCTTTTCAAAGCAAGAAAATGCAAAACTTGAAGCGACCATAAATCTATCATTGCTACAGGAACTAGGAAAAACCGTTTGCGAGGAAGCCAGTTGACTGATGCCACAGGCATATAATGATACAAGTGCTTTCCTCCATCCAGCTTCTAGGAGTAACTATATGACAATTATCATAAACCACCAGAGAATGGTTTTCTGATGATTGTGGCCAGTACTAACTTAAGATCCACCATTGGTATGGCCTGTACCTCATCGGCCGCCTGAATCTGGGAACCCTTCTGCGAATGTGGAGAAATAAGTGAATTCAGAACATGAACAGCCACAGAAACTGATAAATTTGATTTATATTTTTTGCAGCATGAAACAAGAAATATAAAGGCAAAGCTAGCAGTTTCCAAGCCATCAATCAAAAACTAAATTAAAAAAAAAAAAAAAAAATTTAATCTATTGCACTTCCAGCGGAGATTCAAAATGTTGCTTGAATGAAGCAAATATACAATTCATGACACGTACGTACACTAGTTTCTAAATGTGAAGCAGGAAGAAAACATAAAAGTATAAAGGACCCCTCCAAAGCCCAAAAGCTTTTTCACAGATGCTCAAGACAGATATTGAAAGTGGTTCAGTCTCTGCCCAGAAAGCTTGACTCTTCTGTTGAATGGGAACCCGTCAGAGAAGCGAACCAAGTGAAGCTCAAGACGCGTTACGGTCATTTTTTGAGAGCCAATGGGGGCTTGCCGCCTTGGAGAAACTCTGTCACTCATGATATTCCTCATAGAACAGCAACTTACTTGGAGTTTCTGATAAAGCTGTCCGTGCTCTCCCTGTTTTGCTTCTTAGTTTTCTGGGCTTTGGAGACTTTGGATTTGGCATGCCCACCTCATAAAACAAAGACAAAGAAGAAGAGAGGAGATGGGGAAGGAAGACGAAGAAGAAGAGTTTTGTTTAGATTTTTTTTTTTTAAAAAAGTATGGACACGACGCTCGTCCAAACATAAGGGACGGGAGTCCATTAGGAATGGATGCCTGTCCAAATGTAAGGGACAGCCGTCCAAAATTTATGGATGACTATTCCCAAATTTTTTTTATTTTTATTTTCATATTTTGGTTAAGGACGGGCGTCCCCTTTTTGTAGGTGCCCGTCCAAAATGAAGGGATGGCCATCCATAACGGATAAACGGCTGTCCCTAATATTTATAAAATTTTTTTATTATATTTTATTTATGGACGGACGTCCTTTAAATGGGGACGCTCGTCTATCATATATGGACCCCCGTCCATGTGAGTGAACGGCTGTCCATATTTGATGGACAGCCGTTCACTAGAAAAAAATTGATAGAAAAATCAAGCGTTTGGATATACATAGACCGATACATATTTTTGGTGTAAAATATTCGGTGCCTATAGCTTTGTTGGTGTATTATTATTCTAAAATAGGGTTAGGCTGTTTTTTAAACACAAAATGATAGGTGGACACCTATAACATTGGTCGACGCATGAATGGACAGCAAGGCATGGACTGTATTCGCACTCGCATAGAAATAGCGAACCAATCTAGGATAAATATGAGTGTTAGGCCCAAGAAAGTCAACCCATCTTATATGCTTAAAGAAGGTTAGATATTAAATTGAGATAAGACCCCAAAGTCAACTACACAAGGGATTCATTTGCACATTCTAGCCTATGGGTGATTGGTTCCGAATACCCTATATTTTTTAAGGAATCGAAACTATAATCGATGGTTCCTGAAATTTGGAACCAGAAATTAGAACCAACTGTTTCGGTTCTTGGGTACCCAGAACTGGAACCTGTAACAAAGATTCTGGTTTTGGTTCCGGGTAGCCCAAAAATTTCATTTACCCCCAAAGTTTATAAAATGATAAAAACATCTTTAAAACATACCAAACACCCCCCCCCCCGCCAAAACAAACAATAAAATTACAAATACATTATAAAGCCTTCAGGCATTCCAACTCCAATTCAACTTTATGGGAACGAAAAATTTCACATTACAAATTACAATAATCCATTGAAAAATCACAAATTCAACTTCAAAAGAATTTAAAGTACATATAATATTTATATCAAGGTTTTAAAACCCGACTCGGGGGACAACCTGACCAAGCTATCGGGTCACGAGTTTTACGGGTCGGACCGTGACATCATCATGTTGACGTCAGCAAAAAAACAAATTTTTTTTTTTAAAATGCAGATTTTTATTTTTAATGGGTTTTAATTTTTATTTTTCTTCTCTGTTGTGTTGGTTTTGTCGAATAAAAATGGGGAAGGGCGGAGAAGAAAAAAGCTAAAAAGGGTTACTTTTAATTTTATTATTTTTGAATATTTTACTGTAGCAACCCAGGTTATACCGGTTGGATTAGTGGTTTGTTGGAAAAAAACGGGTTCAACCTCGGGTGGAAGCGGGTCAAATGCTATTTCCGGTTTTTTACATGAACTGACCTGGTCTAGCCACCGGTTCCCAATCGAACCAGTTCAATCAGCCGGGCCAGGTTTTAAAACCATGGTTTATATATCTTTATAACAAAGATGGTTCCGATTCCGATTCCTGACTGCAGGAACCAGAACCGCACAGTATCGGTTCTAGATTTTTGGAACCGGAACCTACCTGTCGACGGCTGGTTTCGGGTATACCATCAATTCCGATTCTGATCGATTTTTTTTTAACACCGCTATTCTAGCCAATTTGCTAACTCATATGTAGTTACTACCCTTTCAACATTTTTCAGTCTGAATTTCATGGCATACCTAGGATTTTCATCATTTTCTTTATCTAACACTTCCAGGCTACTATAAAATTCATATATCAAATGTTCATATCCTCCTAATCTGATTTCCATAAGGTTTTTCCAACTCAAATTTTGAATCCATTCAAGTATAGAATCTATTAAATTGAGATTAATCAAGATAGGCCAGTCAAATGTACGTCATAAGAACATACCTCTTTCTTCCATGGTCTTGAATCTTTCCTTTTGCCCCGAGTCTCTGAAAATCACACCATTTAGACCATTGAGAGCCTGTGGCCGAGCAACATTGCTTCCACTATCCATATTCCTGGTTCTAACCATCTTTCCTTGGGAGTATTTGAGGATTAGGTATGATTAAAACGAGTTTGGATTGATTTTGGTGGATCTAAAACATAATATAACCCTAAATATATACAAAAGACATAAATCTAAAAACATTAAGGAGAAGAAAGAAGAGAAAAGAAGAAAAGAGGAGAGGAGAAAAAAAGAAGTGAAGTGAAGTGAAGTGAAGTGAATGAAAAGGGCATAATCCTTCCGCATTTATATCAAAGGTCTTATTTATAAAGACAATTAGAGATGGGCTATTTTTAACTGACTCTTTAAGTAGGGCCATATAATTAAATATCTCAAAAGTTAAGGGAGGGGCGTTAACTCTGCCCTTGCTATAGAGGCTCTTTTATCAAAAGTTTGGGGATTAATAAAAGAGTAATGTGGTTACTTTTTAATTTGAATAAAGTGAACAGCATCTTAATGGTCTGGGGGTATTCAACAGTTTCCAATATCGTTGTCCCGCTTGGACTTTGAGATCTCATTGGGCTGATGAAATTAACCCATTTTAAGATAAATTCTTCAATTCTCGTTGATAGATTTAATTTTTATTTTTTTCTCTCAAAATAAATAAAAAACTTCATGATTGCAATGTTTCCTTAGAAATTTCATTCTACATTATATGCTTCATTTACATAAAGTAATCATCATCACCTCACCATCATGTATCCTGCATCTAATCTTCTTTAGAAATATCAAAAATTTTAAAACTATTTGTATTTGCAACAGAAAGTAAGAAACGATCGTGTAATTTCCTTGAGCATTAAGTTAAGCAATAATACAAAGCTACTTCCCACAGTCAAGAAAATTCCTTTGAGATTAAGCCTTTAAAACGTAAAATAAGAGCAAGAATTGAAGTCTAAGTATTGATGAAAGGAGTAATCTTGATTACAAGGCCAGGAAAAACATCATCTGGGTCGTGGATATGTGGATTCTCTTCAACAATGTAAGGATCCCCACATTTTTCACTAATAGTATGCAAAGTCTCTCCTTCTCCCACCACATAAATTTCATCGCACCGCTTGTTAATGATATTCCTTGGCTTCACTTTAACTATGAAGTCACTATCACTTGATTCACAGGAGCTTAAAATTAGCATTAGCGCCATCAACAAAGCACAATACCAAGAAATCTTCTCTGCCATTGCATGAGTTGATGAAGAAGCACGCACCATGATATTATATTATGCTGTGGATTAAGGTTTGATTTTTGATGGTGGGAATAAATGTTGTATATAAGAGAAGAGGTTTCTTTGGTTTGGTTGTTGGAGTCGGTAAGTGTAGGCTCTTGGCGGAAGTTGAAACGGTTCCCTCATTGTGTTAGGTAACTGTCCAAGACAATAATTCATAAAATACAATAAAAAATCTGAGAAAGAGTTGGTTTAACTGCTTTATTAAATGATTTTGGTCCATGGCTTTGACTTGTTTAACTTATGCTATAATTTATGAAATTGGATTCCCCGCTTCTCAAAGATTGTAAGGTTTTGCGGGGTTCCGGTTTCAAAGCCGAGAGATTCCCAGGTTCTCAAAATAAGGGAGAGCGACATTTTCCCACCCAAGGTTTGGCGAAACGACACTTTCCCACTTTTCAAGTTTCAAAACGACACTGACACACCATTAAGACCCGTTAGTAAATTTAGTTAACTGACATGGTATAATTATGGTAAAGACAAAAACACCCTTTATTATTTGAATCTAAATCCAAATCCTTAGTTTGAAAAAAAAAAAAAAAAAAATCTGAACAAAAATAGTTGGCCGGAATCACAAGGAATAGACCCGTGCTATGCTGTCGACTGCTGCTACTGCAAATCGCCGACAAGGCCACCAAATAACCCATGGATGCTCAACACAAATCCATCACAAATTCGGCCAAAAATGCACCATCAAGCAAACACTTTTTTTTTTTTTTGGGGAAATGCACCATCAGGCAAATACGAATCCGACAAAAAATCGATCACCAAACAACCTAAATTCAACCACCCAAACACCAATCAACAACACACAAACCATTCTTCAACAACACACAAAAGATAAACATTGGGTTTAAGGGAAATAGGGTAACAAAAAATCACGTTCAAATAAAGGATGTTCGTGAGTTTTCTTGGATTATTGCTGTTATTGTTGTAAATAATTATTGTAAAAGTCAGTTTAGTCAGTTGAATAATTAGTTAGTCAGTTGGATAACTAACTGCAGTAAGATTAACCATAGTTGCTGATATAACTGTGGTTACTTATTCTTGTATAAAAGTGTACTGTTGAGCTTTAAAGACTAATGAATAAAACTTTCAACTTTACTCTCTCAGTAAGCTGCATTCGCACATGGTATCAGAGCGGGTTTTTCAATCTGCAAAATCAATGAGCTTCCATTGAAAGAATCAAGCTCGAAATTGAAGATCCTACTTCAAGATCGGCTGTTTGTCTTCATCAATTCATCAATCTTACCTCTGATTTCAGCTCAACAGCTCAACCCTAAAGATTCAATATGTCGAATGTCAGTGATTCAAGCTCACCTTTATACATCCATCCGTTAGATACTCCTGGTTCTATCCTCGTTTTAGAGTAACTCACTGGAATGGAAAACTATGGAATATGGAGTCGCGCAATGACGGTTTCTTTAAGAGCAAAGAACAAATTAGGTTTTGTGGATGGATCTTGTGAAAAATCAAATTATAATCAGTCTTCACATGCGTAGTGGGAACGATGTAATTCGTTAGTTCTAGCGTGGATCTTTAACACTGTTTCGAAGGAAATTTTTAACAGTATCGTTTACTCTACTAACGCTTATCAGGTCTGGGAAGATCTCAAGGAACAATACAACAAAATTAATGGCACAAGGGTGTTTGGTATACACAGAGAGATAACGAATATGGTGCAAGGAACAAATTTAGTCGCAGTTTACTACAACAAGCTGAAAACCTTATGGGACGAATTAAGTTCATTAGTAAGTCTACCACCACTAGACAGTGAGTCAGCAAAGGCCTATTTGGCTCATCTTAACCAGCAAAAACTGCTTCAGTTTTTGATGGGATTAACCGAATCATATGCCTTGGTGAGAAGCCAGATTCTATTGATGGTTCCTCTACCCTCAGTCAAACAAGCATACTTAATCGTGACTCAAGATGAGAGTCAAAAGATTTTGACTAGATCAAATCCAAACACTGAGGTTACTATAACACTATATTTACAGGGGAATCAAAGAAACCAGGGTCATAATTCAAAGTACAAAGGCAAGAAGCCTTACGTAGAGTGTGATTATTGTCACATTGCAGGGCATAAAAGAGATACCTATTACAAGTTACATGGGTACCCAACAGATTTTCAGTTCACTAAAGGAAGGGCAGGATCAAAGGTTAAAGCTAATCAAGTGAATGCAAGTCAAGAACAAGCTTCGAACAATGACTTTACGTCTGACAATAGCAATGGAGGTACCAATCTGGGAAATGTTCTCACTCCAGAACAATATGCACAATTGCTACAGCTATTGGGGAAGGAGAATGCAGGAATGCCATCTGCTAATTTGGCAGGTAAAATCATTTCCTTATACTCAATTTGTAACATCATGGATGATTGGATTCTTGACTCTGGGGCCACTGACCATATGACCCATAATTTCAAAATTTTTGGGTCTCATGTTATTAGTAAGCCACCCGTATCTAGCTTTGTTAGTCTCCCAAATGGAACAAAAACTTCAATTGCACATGTTGGTTCTGTCAAATTGCAAGATCATTTGTCTCTTGAAAAAGTCCTATACATACCAGATTTCAAATACAATTTGATATCAGTGTCTAAACTAGCCTCTGATAATAATTGTTGTATTACATTTTATTCGGATTTTTGTGTTATCCAGGATCTTTGGAGTGGCAAACTGAAGGGGATTGGTAAGCAATGCCAAAGGCTCTATCATTTCATGTCTTTTTCAAAATTACAATTCTGTTTTCTTGATTTTATTTCAATTTTCAATAAAACCATAGGTATTCAGGAGTATGATCATTCTAATAAAAATATAACATCTTTCAATGTAGCTACAGATTCTTCAATTAATAAAATTTTTCATTCCAAAGATGTTACTTTATGGCACAGGAGATTAGGCCATGCTCCATTACCTGTTTTACAGAAATTACATCATGCATTTAGCAATACACATAAATTTCATTGTAATGCCTGTCCTTTAGCAAAGCAAACTAGGTTGCCATTTCCTTTAAGTGACATATCTACATCCCATGTTTTTGAACTATTACACTTAGATGTTTGGGGCCCTTACAAAATTGCAACTCAAGGAAATGCTACGTTTTTCCTTACCTTGGTAGATGACTTCACTAGAACAACTTGGCTTTTTCTTATACAATTCAAATCTAATGTTTTCCAAACTTTGAAATCTTTTTTGCATATGGTTAAAAATCAATATGACCAAACACCTAAGTACATTAGGATTGACAATGGGTTGGAATTTTTCAATCACCAATGTCATGATATGTTGTCTGACTTAGGGATTATACATCAAAGTACTTGTGTCTACACTCCACAGCAAAATGGAGTGGTAGAACGCAAGGATAGGCATACTCTTAACATAGCTAGGGCTTTTAAATTTCAGTCTCATATTCCTGATTATTTGTGGGGATATGCAGTTAAGGTAGCTGTATATATTATCAATAGATTGCCCACTAGAGTCCTAAATGGTCTATCACCTTTTGAAAAATTTTATGATCATAAGCCCAAATTAGATCACCTGAAAGTGTTTGGTTGCTTGGCATATGTTGTAAATCTTCCTATGCAGGACAAGTTTGCTCCAAGATCTATTCCTTGTGTGTTTCTTGGTTACTCTTCCACCAAGAAAGGCTACATTCTATATGACCTTCACTCAAAAACCATATGTGTTAATAGGGATGTTCTATTTTATGAATCTATTTTTCCTTTTCTCCTACATCAGTCCAATAAACCACCTTTTCCTATTGATACTTTCATGGAACAAGATCTTTTAGCCTCATATGATTTCATCCCACATTCAGATTATTCTGTTATTGGTCTTCAAGAGACAAAACCAACTTTCCCTAGTCCTTCCACTCTTTCTTCACCAAATACAGTCTCAATTCCAACACCTCACAATCCTAGTAGGAAATCCAGTAGAACAACTAAACCTCCCATTTGGACTACTAACTTTGTATGTCCTACGTTACCCAAATCAAATCAAACATCTACTATTAAATATCTCATTCACCACTACATTACATATTCCAAACTATCCTCCACCTATAAAAACTATTTATCCAGCATTTCTCACCTTACTGAACCTACCACATTTGCACAAGCTTCCAAAGATTCTAAGTGGGTGGCAGCTATGCAACAAGAAATTCAGGCTTTGGAGAGAAATGGGACATGGTCTCTGGTTGTTCTACCTCCTGGTAAGGTTCCCATAGGATGTAAATGGGTTTATAAGTTGAAGTGATGGGACTTTGGAAAGGCACAAGGCCAGATTAGTGACCAAAGGATTTACACAGCAGGCTGGCATTGATTATGAGGAGACTTTTTCTCCTGTAGTAAAGATGGTCACAATCAGGTTGGTTTTGGCAATTGCTTCTATGAAAGGATGGTCACTTTTTCATTTGGATATTGATAATGCCTTCTTGCAAGGTGATCTGCAGGAGGACATCTATATGCATTTACCATAAGGCTTTTCCAATCAGCATGACAAGTCTTTAGTGTGCAAATTGCACAAGTCCTTGTATGGCTTAAAGCAAGCCTCCAGGGCTTGGAACACTAAACTAACCATTGCTTTATTGACAGGGGGTTTTCAACAGTCTCCATCAGATCACTCCTTTTTTTTTTAGAGAGCAAAATGGATAGATTGTCATTTTTCTTGTCTATGTTGATGATTTGGTCATCACTGGCAGCAGCAGCTCCATGATCCAGGCTACTAAGGATCTTTTACATTCTCATTTTAGACTCAAGGACTTGGGAATCCTAAGATATTTCTTGGGATTTGAAGTTGCCTGATCTTCCAAAGGCATAACCTTATGTCAAAGGAAATATGCCTTAGAATTGATTGCAAAATCTGGTTTGGGTGCTGCTAAGCCAGTTTCAGTGCCACTTGATCCTCAGCTGAAACTTACTACTTCGGAGTATGATGATGCCTTCCCTGGTCGGCAAGCAGATCCATTATTGGCTGATCCTTCTATATATCAAAAGTTAATAGGTAAACTATTGTATTTGTGCCTTACCAGACCAAACAAGCACCCCCAACTTGGACAACAAATGACAATGCTGGCAGCAACTTGGTTTGGCATGTTTCTCTTCACTTTTCGTGAGCTACTGCTGAAGTTTTTAGTGGCTGGATTAGGTTTTTGCTTGCTGCAACTGATTGGAGGAGAGTACTGATATTGATCAAAACAACCAGCTCATCACTTTATTTTCTTACTGTTGTAATGTATGTTGTGTAGACGTTTTTATAATATATGTTGTAATGTATGTAGTGTACAAGTTTTTATAATGCAACATTGAGGTTCTATTTCATTATTGGATGGATTTTTCTCTTGGATGTACTTTTTATTTTAAGTTTCATGACAAAAAAATCTAGCAAGTAATTGAAGTCTTATTAGGGTGGAAATAAGAGATTNAGTTAATTGCAAAAAGGTGTGAGATTGATTATTCACTTTTTCTTTGTAAAAAGAAAAACCACACAGCCCCAATTCCTCTCCCACGGCAGTATTCCATTTTGCCCAAAATCAATTCATTTGATTTTTCTTCTTTAATCTTAAACATAAGGAGGATCTAGCAAATCCCTCCTTAGTTCTTTGTGATTGTCTTCATGTGGACTACATGGGTTCGATCCTACACTTGGGTCGGTAGCAAAAACGTTCATTGACAAATTTGGAAGAGCCTCCAAACGTGCGTATGTTTTTCTAAACTCATGATTAATTTCTACAGATTTCTACTTTGATATAAACTGTAAAATTATACATTTGATCTTGGCTCTTTGGGAACGATCCTTGTATTATGAATTTTTGTTTTTTCTGCTGCACGTATATGGACCGTTTCCTAACATATGTTAAGTCTTTTATAATTATCTTTGATAATTATGCTATTATCTTATTAGGATAGAATTAGGATTATCTTATTATCCTTTTATAATTATGATAGAATATCTTATTAGATTTTAATTAGGTGATTAGAGTTCTTTTAGGAGTCACTTAGAGTCAAGTGTAAGGCTATATAATAGCCTAGATCTAGATAGTGGTTATCAATAAAGAATTTTGGCAATTAATCTTTCTATCTCTTGTTCTTGGAGATCTTTGTTCCTCATATAAACAGATCCTATCCCAAACCCTATCATTGGTGCTCTCGTTCCCTAGTTATGGCTGAAAGCACTCGCTTGCGTCTTTTGGATGAGCAGCTTGTTAAAATTATGGCTCTACAATATGCCCAAGCAGAGACTCTCACTTCTTTAATAGAGAAATTGGAAGTTTTGACAGTTGGTTTTCAAGATGTTACTTTGCATATTTCAGCTCTAAACAACAAGTTCGATCAAACTTGCTAGCAAAACCAACATTCTGGTGAATCATCTTCAGATTTGACTGGGCGACGTGGATCGACTTTTGAGAGTTTTTTTCCCAAGTCTTTCCGTTTAGAAGTCCCTCGTTTGAGGGCACGGATCCGCGTGGCTGGAGGTTTAAAGCCGAGCAATTCTTTGATTACCATAATATTCCTACTGAGCAACGGTTGACGATCTCTTCCTTCCACATGGATGGGCCAGTTCTCTCTTGGTATCGCTGGAGGCATTCCAATGGGCAGATCCGTTCTTGGCATTCTTTATTACACAATTTAGATGTTCATTTTGGGCCTTCGAAATTTGTGGATTACCAAGGGCAGTTGGCGAAACTTACTCAAACAGGTCCTGTAGTCGCTTATCAAACAGAGTTTGAGGAACTCTCTAATCAAGTTTCTGGCTTTCCAGGTATGTTCCTTCTAAGTTGCTTTGTATCAAGACTCAAACCATAAATTCGAAGGGAGGTGTAGTCCTTCCAGCCTCACGGCTCACACCCTCAACCATGCCATGAGTCTTGCCCGCTTGCAAGAGGACAAGCTCCAGGATCTACACCTATACTTGCAATCTGCTGACCCCAATCTTGCAATCCTATTAAATCAACTCCTAATGTTCCTTCAGCGCAGCAAGCCCTTTTCCAACTCCAAACAAATCGGATTACTTGCCTGTTAAGTGACTCACAGCAACACAGATGCAAGAACGATGCAACAAAGGTTTGTGCTATAATTGCGATGAGCGCTTTCACCCTGGGCATCGCTGCAGAGCCAAGTTCTTTCTCTTGCTGATGGAGGAGGATGATGATGAGCACGAAGATGAACCAGGATAAGTGCTGTTGATGGTGTTGTACCTTGCAACCTTGAGGACAAGGTTGAGTCGAAGGGGAAGGCAATGTTAGGATTATTTTAGAATTAGGATAATTATATTAAGTCTTTTTTTATTATCTCCTATAATTATGTTAAGTCTTTTATAATTATCTTTAATAATTATGCTATTATCTTATTAGGATAGAACTAGGTATATCTTATTATCCTTTTATAATTATGATAGAATATCTTATTAGATTTTAATTAGGTAATTAGAGTTCTTTTAGGAGTCATTTAGAGTCAAGTATAAGGCTATATAATAGTCTAAATCCAGATTGTGGTTATCAATAAAGAATTTTAGCAATTAATCTTTCTATCTCTTGTTCTTAGAGGTTTCTATTCCTCATATAAACAGATCATATCCCAAACCCTATCAATTATCCATATTCCTAGTTCTGACCATCTTTCCTTGAGAGTATTTGAGGATTAGGTATGATTGAAACGAGTTTGGATTGATTTTGGTGGATCTAAAACATAATATCACCCTAAATATATACGAAAGACATAAATCTAAAAACATTAAGGAGAAGAAAGGAGAGAAAAAGAAGAAAAGAGGAGAAAAAAAGAAGTGAAGTGAATTGAATGCAAAGGGCATAATCCTTCCGAATTACATCAAAGGTCTTATTTATAAAGACAATTAGAGATGGGCTATTTTTAACTGACTCTTTAAGTAGGGCCATATAAGTAATTATCTCCAAAGTTAAGGGAGGGGCGTTAACTCTACCCTTGCTATAGAGGCTCTTTTATCAAAAGTTTAGGGATTAATAAAAGAGTAATGTGGTTACTTTTTAATTTGAATAAAGTGAACAGCATCTTAATGGTCTGGGGGTATTCAACAGTTTCCAATATCGTTGTCCCGCTTGGACTTTGAGATCTCATTGGGCTGATGAAATTACCCATTTTAAGATAAGTTCTTCAATTCTCGTTGATAGATTTAATTTTTATTTTTTTCTCTCAAAATAAATAAAAAACTTCATGATTGCAATGTTTCCTTAGAAATTTCATTCTACATTATATGCTTCATTTACATAAAGTAATCATCATCACCTCACCATCATGTATCCTGCATCTAATCTTCTTTAGAAATATCAAAAATTTTAAAACTATTTGTATTTGCAACAGAAAGTAAGAAACGATCGTGTAATTTCCTTGAGCATTAAGTTAAGCAATAATACAAAGCTACCTCCCCACAGTCAAGAAAATTCCTTTGAGATTAAGCCTTTAAAACGTAAAATAAGAGCAAGAATTGAAGTCTAAGTATTGATGAAAGGAGTAATCTTGATTACAAGGCCAGGAAAAACATCATCTGGGTCGTGGATATGTGGATTCTCTTCAACAATGTAAGGATCCCCACATTTTTCACTAGTAGTATGCAAAGTCTCTCCTTCTTCCACCGCATAAATTTCATCGCACCGCTTGTTAATGATATTCCTTGGCTTCACTGTAACTATGAAGTCACTATCACTTGATTCACAGGAGCTTAAAATTAGCATTAGCGCCATCAACAAAGCACAATACCAAGAAATCTTCTCTGCCATTGCATGAGTTGATGAAGAAGCACGCACCATGATATTATATTATGCTGTGGATTAAGGTTTGATTTTTGATAGTGGGAATAAATGTTGTATATAAGAGAAGAGGTTTCTTTGGTTTGGTTGTTGGAGTCGGTAAGTGTAGGTTCTTGGCGGAAGTTGAAACGGTTCCTTCATTGTGTTAGGTAACTGTCCAAGACAATAATTCATTAAAAAAAAATAAATAAATAAATCTGAGAAAGAGTTGGTTTAACTGCTTTATTAAATGTTTTTGGTCCATGGCTTTGACTCGTTTAACTTATGCTATAATTTATGAAATTGGATTCCCCGCTTCTCAAAGATTGTAAGATTTTGCGGGGTTCCGGTTTCAAAGCCTAAAGATTTCCAGGTTCTCAAAATAATAATGATAATAGTAACTTATGAAGTTGGATTCCTATACAAAAGTCTACTGAAGGTTAGGACTGTTTTGGAATACTCAGTGATTTCATTTACATATGCTCTAGATATGTAAATCAATGAAACTTCCATGTTAGTTGTGTCAAAATTACTGGATTATTAGGTTAAGCTTAATTTCATCTTATATTTTATCATTATTAATTGATTCTGAAATGATAATATTCCGTATGAAGTCTCAACTATGTAAAACATATATTTATAAAACGTTTATCATTATTTATTTCAGAAGCCACTTACATTGATCCTATAATTCAACATACTTGACTGACTGGTCATTTCGTTTTACGATTCCAATATGTTAACAAATATCATACAAATGAATAAAAATACCAAGGACATGAATATGATATTCTAAGGATCTTTTATTAATTGAGTATTCTTTTGAGTATGTTTACAAATTCATGGAAAGACAGAAATTTGATCAACAAGACACCAGATATCAGCCCTCAAACCCAGAACTTGGGTTGTGACCAGACCAGCGAGAAAAGAAGAGAGCACAGAGGGTTTTGGTAGATCTTAGACACAACCCAACATTCACTTTCAAAGTTCAGCATCATCTTTGAGATGTGGACGACATTGCACCAGCAGCTTTCATGGTTTCATCAACAGTTTCTTGATATAACCAAGGACTTGATCAACATTGACCGTCCAAGCAACTGAAACAGGGGAATAGCCTGTCCACGGGTTGCTTCCGTTCCATCTATGTATCAAAATACAGCGTCATTAATGGTGATAATTGATTAACAAATCAAAACTAGTTCTATATGTTCCTATCAGAAAAAGTTTTTTATATGCATAAAAGAGGAAGCTGAACACACCTTTTTAGTCCTTGATCCATTAGTGTATGCCCAACACTTATACCGTGCGTTTCAACCCTCACAACTCCCTTCTTGTATGTGAAGAGATCAGGGCAAACTACAGCTACAAAACTAACAGGGTCGTGAAGGAAAATCCCTGAAACCAAACTTCAAAAAGTTAACAAAAGAATTCATAAAAATAAGTCAAAAAGAAGGATGCTGAAGTCTCAAAAGAAATAACTATAGATTCATCAAACTTATGAATCGAAGATTACCATAAACACCATCAGACTTAACATGCCAATCTCTGTAAAATTTGCACATGTCACTAAGTAGTTGAGCATGCTTCCCTTTAGATTCCGCTAATTCAAGCAAGTCAGCATCTAATGCAGAAGATAAATTCAACTATCAGAAAGTCATTATTTTCAAATTAACCAATACATGGGAAGCATGTCCAGGAGATGATGTAAATTGAGAAGTTTGACCTGTCATTTTGACTTGTGTTGTAATGTTTATTCCAACCACAACAATGTTTGCCCCAGAGGTAAACACAACATCTGCTGCTTCTGGATCTCCATAAATCTGCAAGTTAAATGAATCAAGTTTCTAGGTGGTTCACAACAACAGTTCACCATCATATGCTACAGCTGAACTTTTTACACATATAATGGCGTTTTTGCAGCAACGATAACTTTTTGATTTCTTAAAGAGTTAAAAGGGAATTACATGGCAATACTTTGAAACAAAAAACAGTAACAGTTCAGTATTAAACTGAAACTGCTCAAGACTCAAGTGTAAGCAACCTGCTCGAAACTTTAAATAAAAAATTGGTTTACTATCATAAATTTTAATGTTTGAGCTCTTCTTAGTTCCATTATACGTATCTAACAAGGAAACTGCCAAGGAAACAAGTGTACTTCTAGTGCTGCTGAAGCTAGTGTTGAGAATTTTAGGCTCTTTCCAGCGCATAGGACTAAACTAGACTAATTCCCTGGGACTTGACTAGATTGAACCTAATATTAAGAACTTTTGGCTTTGTTCAGCACATGGGACTAAACTGGACTAATTCTCTGCAACTTGACTAGATTGGAATGGATGGACTAGACTAACATATAGTTGTCCTGTATTTGGTGCAATATCAGTTTGAGCAGAAGTACATATTGTAAATAAACTCAAATGTCTGATAACTAATTAAAATGATAGAAGCCACACTTGCAACACAAAGCAACTGTCTGGACCAGAGAGGTCTACTTTATTTCTTTCCTGGTGTACAAACCATGAATTTTGGAAAAGCTAGCACTTACATTTGCTTCAGCAGCAGGATTTACATTTCCCAGAGCGAAGAAAGCACCACCAAGTATAACGATATTTTTCACCTTGCTAGCAAAGGAAGAGTCCCGTTTGATAGCCTGATTTCATAAACACCTCAGGAATTAATTTTAAAGTGCTGGAACAATTAAAATGCTGTAAGTAAAATTGGAAACACACAGATATACAGACATATAAACCAAAAACTTACCAAAGCCAAGTTTGTTAGCGGTCCAAGTGCAAGTACAGACACTTCACCGGGATATTCAGAGACCTTCTCAACCAGAAATTCAGATGCACTCTTATTACATTTCTTTGACTTTGGTGGAGGTAGAGATATATTTCCCAGTCCATCAGAGCCATGAACAAAGTCAGCAACACGTGGCGTTCCTCCCTTTTACAGAAAAACCATGGTCAGTAGGCTACAAGGAATGTTCACTTAAAGGGTTCAGAAAAAGAAATCCAAATTGGCCCATATATATATATAAGAAGACCAAATAAATCTATTCACTAGAACTAAACAGCCAAAAGTAATTTAACAAAGCAAAGTAACAAGGTGGTAAAATTTCAGAAAACATATGTGGACAGAACATTTGGGGAGGACTAACATATTGCAAAAACGGAAACTAAAAGCATGCTATCAAGTAACATTTCACAAAATTTCACAAGAGGAGCCACAGAATATATATAAACAATTACCTTCAAAGGTTCTGAGCTGCCCTCTGCCACAGGGACACCTGGACACCCTGCGATCTCACACTATCCTTTTGCACATCAAAAATAGGAATTTGATCATGAATATATTCCAAAAATATTTAAAAACTAAAACCCAAGTATAAAAGAATGTGGTCAACAGATAAAAATAAAAAAATACCAGAAGCAAGGCATTGCGAGTGGCATCTTCCGTAGTAACATTACCAAAGATTGTTGTCAACCCTAAGATCTCCAACTGTGGAGTTTGAAAAGCCATCAAGATTGCCATGCTGTCATCTGTTAATCAATAAATATCCTTCATATGGTCAGATCACAACTCACAACAAATAACCATTCTTTCATATAATCGCATCACAGCTCACAACAAATATGCACAACCACCTAGATGAAAAAATATATAAACATAACTATAGTATCTGCTAATCATTTCATTAAACAAATATAGAGAAATTGGCAAAAGGCTGATTGTTTCTAAGAAATTGACCTATCAACTAATTTTAAAAGGTTAGAAAATTCCCATAGTTTTCCTTATATACAAAGGTGTTGCACTAACTGATTTAGTATATGTTACTGTAGTTTCAATTGCCTTTATTATCAACAATATTTATTTAAATGGACCCCAAATTACAACAACTTTCCGAAAGACACTACATTTCAAATGCTAAAACAATCAGTGACTTCCATTATTGAAAAAATAAAATTTCCACAGGTTAGCAGGCAGATAAATCAGGACCCAAATGAAAATTGAGTCCATTCCATCAACAGGACGCCGTAATTGCTAGTAATCATGCTCAATAACAATATTAATAATAGAGCTTGAATTTAAATAGTTTATGCCATTTCCCAGGAACCAAAGAGAAAAAAAAAAGAGAAAACAAACCGATTCCGGGATCAGTATCGATAATGAGCTTGGAAGGCGGCGGAGAAGAGGGTTGAGCGTCGAGGATCCCACCGTCACAATTCAAATTCGTCATAATTGGAGAAGAATTTTGGGACAGTGAAATGAGAATGAAATTGAAACCTCGTGATTTAAGATGATTAGAATCAAATAAAAAAAAGAGTTTTGTCAGCAGTTGTAGCCACCCAACTTTGTAACGTGGTTAGGTAGAGCACTTCAGGATTTTATTAATAGAAGTTCTCCCATTTACTTGTTTAACAGCTGGCGGTTTTTTATTGGATCAGAAACTTTGCGTTTGGGATACTACCAATGTAAAGATCAATAATTTTTTATATTTCCTCGTGGGTTAATCACAAGATTTGCCTTTTCAAAAATTCACTTCCATTTTAGCTAATTTTATTTTCCAAAATGTTTATCAAGGTTGGATTTTTTTCTTTAAATAAATACTTATTTCCTATTTTAAGAAATTAAGATTACTTTTTAGCTATATATATTCAAATTTTTATTTTTATTTTTTATATTAAGAGATGTTCGAGTTAGTTTACGGACATATCAACTACTTATCTAGGTCTTGAAGTTAACGGTCAGATAAGACTCTAATGACTACCTCTTATGAGGATATATTCAAAATTTCATGTCTCCTTAAACTTTAGTTGTTTATCCCCACCCTTGTTGAGAATTAATTGTAATTTTCCCTTTAAATATTGTTGACCTAATTTTAGACTTTTGTATCCTTATTCATTTGAGCAAATTATTTTATTATTTCATCATTCTATAATTTAATAGATATTGTCAAATTAAGTGCCATATCAAATAGGATGTCAATTATATGGAGTTATTGTTATATAAAATAAATCATGTGAATTATGGATTCTCGAAAACATTAATGGGATGAGTTTTAGAAGTAAAAAAAAAACATTAATGTGAATGATAATTCACAACTATAAAGGGTGTTTATAATAAAGGAAATTTATATGGGAGATCTAAAAAAAAATCATTAGAATAATGGTGATGCGGGATGCCAGTCCATCGGTCCATCCTACTAAGAAAAGTTGTAATGGCATGTGAGTTGTTGTTTTGGATTTATGGACGGAAAGTTCAACTCCAATTTTTAATAGATTACTTCACATAGCAAATCTGGAGTTGGCGTCGCGTCATCTCTATCTTTCAATACCTTTTGTTTAATATGATAACATCTATTAAAAAGAAAATAATATTTTCTTAGAATAATAGACAAAAACTCTTCAATACTATAAAAGGGCTAATCATGTACACACCTTGGACTCTAACTGTTACCCCCAGTAATTTGGAAAACAATTTTTTACCCCCTATTGTTAGTTCATGGTGTAATAGGCTTACAGCTAACAGGAAAGAGGGCAAAATAGACATTTACATTTTAATATAAATTTATTCACTGAAATATTCCAAAAATGAGAAATATACATTTAAAAATTAAAAAAAAAAATCACAGAATCACGAAAAACTATCATTTTCATATTGTCATCAATATTTTAAAACCCAACCCAGGGTGAAACCTGACAAAGTTTTCATGTCCTGGGTTGACCGGTTTGACCAGATTGACAAAAAATTTTAAAACTCAACAAATACACCCCTAAAAATTACCTTTAAGTCCCTACATGTTTGAACTTTCTCAAACACACCCCAACTGAAAATCGACCGGCGACTGATCGGCAGCGACGACACCCCAGATGCAACCCAAATCTTTCCCTGAGCCCATTTCCATTAAAATCTACCCAAGATCTGGCCGAAATAGGTTCGATTTCTACCAGATTTCACCGACGCCGGTGTGGGTATTCTAGGCCGGATCTCATCCACGCCGGCGCCCACAAACCTCCCCATCACCCAGGAATTACTCTCCTGTTCCTCCCGACCAAAACCCACCTCACCCCACCCCCGTTAGCCTAGCCAATCGCCGGAAAAATCCCATTGTTGCCGCTTCCAAGTTTCTTCGATTTCCAGTCGATTTACTCACTGGAAATCAACGACGCCACCACCATTGTATTCACCGGACCTTAGTCTTCAAAAGCCCTAACCTTTCGGCCGTCGATTGTTCGCCGATCATCCTCTCAAATCTTAGGGTTTGGAGGTGAATTGGAAAAGTTAAACCCGGCCATTGAACCTGCCGAGTCCCGGTTAAACCGATTCAATCGGTTGGGTCGGGTCGGATTTTAAAACAATGATTGTCATCATCCAATCTCAAATAATGCAATGGTCTTAGTCTAAGTCTCAGCCCGCCCCATCCCGCACCGGTCAACAGGGTCAAGGGGTCAAACATTCTTTTAATACATTTTTTTTTTTTAAATTTATTTAGAGACTAATAAAAATGCATATTATGATTAGACATAATAAGTTCTATCAACTTAATTTTTAGACTTAAAAATGTAACACCATCATTATTATTATTATTATTATTTTACAATTCAGTGATTATTTTACACGTTACTTTATTACATTATAAATAGTAGGATTATAGATAATTTTACAACATAAATCCATTATCGAATATTTACAATTCTGAAGAGATTATATCTTTTTTCTAGCTTAATCGTCCAAGTACCTTTTTAAATATACTTCTAATTTCTTTATTAGAAATTCATTACAAAAGGTAATTAGAATCCTTAAAGAGCATCTCCAATTATTCTCTTTAAACTAAAGAGCATATTCATTAATTTTTAAACATAAAGAATAAAATTTGTATTCAAATTCAATAAACTCTTTAAAATTTAGGAGAGAATATGTTTTTTCAATAAAAAAAACTTAATATGAGAGATAAATAATAAATAAAATCATGGAAACTTGTAATTTATTATTTGAAATTAAGATAGAGAGTGAAATTTGACTTTTTAGATATAGAGAACCAAACTCACTATTTAATTTATATTTAAAGAATAAAAAATCTGTTGGATTCTTATTTTTATGAATAAACTCTTTATAATAAAAAGTTTGAGTCATATAAAGAGTCATTTGAAAATGCTCTAAAGAACTCTTTATATGACCTAAATTTTTTATTATAAAGAGTTTATTCATAAAAGCAAGAGTCTAACAGACTCTTTATCTTTTAAATATAAATTAAAGAGTGAGTTTGATTTGTTAGTAAACGGTCCCGTATACGCAGCGGAAACAAAACAAAATTAATGTAGAGATCGTTTACATGAGCCAAGATCAAGGGTATAATTTTACAATTTATCATAATAAGAATCTGCATAAATATTAAACATGAGTTAAGAAACCATACGCACGTTTGGAGGCTCCACCACGATTGTCTTTGAACGTTTTGCTACCGATCCAGGTGTAGGATTGAACCCACGTAGTCCACACGAAGACAATCTCAAAAGAACCAAAGAGGTATTTGCTAGATCCTCTTTGGCTTCAAGATTAAGAAGAAAAAGAAATCAATGAAATTGATTTCAAGGCAAAATCAATCTGCCGTGGGAGTGTCAATATTTGGGGCTGTGTGTTTTTCTTTTTCAAAGAAAAAACTTTTTTTTCATTTAATTAACACACTTTTCTTTTTATAGTAAAAACAATTTGCCCTAATCCCATACGGAATAGGCTTGAGCTTCAACCCAAACGCCCCATGTTGCCAAACACTCCCAATTTGATTTATTTTATTTTCCATCATTATCTCAATTAAAATCAATTAATATATATTTAAATATATATTAACATTTAACAATAATGATAATATATTTAAATATGTGCGAACACACATTTAAACGTAATTTCACTTATTTAATTTTTCTAACAAATTAAATAAAGGCTACGACCTCAGCAAATTTAATTGCACTGTGAAATTACCAAAATACCCTTTCGCCTTAAAAGACGAAAACGCCCTTCTTTCTTCTTGCATCTTAAATTGTCTTCTATGTGTGTGACCCTTAGGCTCCTCATCATATCGGCAGTGTATAGTATTGCGATTAACACCAATTAATCGTCTCACTAATACACAGACCAAGATTGGCCCCTAGCAAGGCATCATGGCCACCCGATAGATTCGGATTCAGCAAAGTAGCTACCTGTCAACGATATGGTTACCGTGCAATTCGATCCTTTCATCATTCGTTATCTCGACGAGACGAAGGCATAGAAATAGTGTCAACCTTCGGTTACTCTCGATATTATTTATTCAGTTTCTGGACCAATGACCCGTATTATAAACTGGATAGAGCAACAACTCAATCCCACTGTGGCCACAGTTTTAGTGTCATTGCCATATACTGAATTGCGCCGTGAGATAACTTTCTCCCGTACCCGGGAGTGATGAATCCTCTGTCAATCCACCATAGTCTTGATACACTCCTTGATGCAGCCAATCACCACCGTATTGACAGCTCTGAAAAGAACTGCGTTAGGCTAGTGTCAAACTACACCAATCGGTGCACAAGGCGCTCCGGTGATCTCAAGTCTAAGGATCACATGCACCACCATTCGTTAGAGGATTTGTTCCATAGACACTGGGGTTACCATCCATATGGAATCCTCTGGTGGGTCAGTCCAGTGAACTTGCTGTGGTGTAATCGCCTACAACAAACACCCATGTGTTGCACCAGGTTGTCACCAAACAACCTTGACAAGTGAGATCAGTCACTGTCTTTCGATAGGGTCATTTAACACTATGATAGCCTTACCATATTATCTGTCCCCTTACTTCAGAATAATACTGGGGCTACGGACGTTTCTAGAATGGCCACCATATGTGCTCATAGGGTTCTCACTATCAAGATTTGAAACACTTGATACCCTCGTCACGGTTCTACCATTCTAAGGACATATATCAATACATATTGCAATAATAATGATTTACGTGATATAGAATAGAATGACTTTTATTGATTAATGAACATTATTACAAAGAGTCAATTTCACAATAATTGATTGGCTCTAGGGCACCTACTCCAACATGACTCTTCATATCTAGAGAGTCAAATTTCATTCTCTATCCTAATTTTAATTAATAAACTACAAGTTTTTACGCATTTCATTTATTAATTATCTCTCATATTAAGTCTTTTTCTTGAAAATAAAGAGCATTTTTATTAAATTTAAAGAGTCCATTGGATTTAAATAAAAATTTTGTTTTTTATATTTAGAAATTAATAAAGATGTTTTTTTATTAATATGAAAGATGCTTTTAATTGGAGATGCT